ACAAAATCTGTGCTTCCATGAAGCTCTTCTGCAGAGACTATAATCTCCAAAGCACGTTTCCTTGATACTCTCCAAATTACGCCCATTTGCCAAGAGGCCTGCTTTGATACCTTTTGCTTTTCAGGTAAATCCAGGAAAATTCTCAATACAGTGAAAGAGAATGGGCCTAACAAAAACATCCACTATTACAGATCAAAACCTTATCCTCTAGAAACATGTCATAGTTTGTTTCCTAGTTGTATATAAAATAACCGCATCACCTCAGCTGACAACCACCCCAAGGACATGCTGAAACAATCTCACCAGCTAGGCAGGGTGGATTCTGTAACATCAAAGCAAAAAGCAAATGCAACCAGAAATAGTAAACTAATTTTAAAGAGTGACAGATTTTAAACAATCTTTAAAGAGTGGGAGAAGAATCTTTTCCTAAGGGGAATCTGCTGTAGAAACTGCTTATCGCAGCTTGTTTTCCACAGATAAGTCTCTCACCAGGTACCAGCTTCTTACTGCCCTCTGCTGGCTAAGTCTGAATTCAGTCTTTTTAAGCTGTTCTGTTTTTTACAATTTTACTGAACAAGTAAATCTACTTGCTCACAAAATGTAACACTTTTTAAAACTTTTATATTAATGGTACTTAAAATTAACTCCAAGAAGTCCTGTATCATAATTTCATTTAATTAAAAATGTCCTTATGACAAAAGCAATACGCTGATTAAAAAAAAGCAAAAGAACCAATACCCACCTTTCCAAAAACTACGGTTAAAACTTGATGTGTATCTTTTTTCTCTTCTCTGCCAGCATGGACCCTTATATTTAAAAAAAAAAAAAAAAGTGGTCCTATTGTACACTATGAATATTGCTTTAAAAATATATTAACAAATGTCCTATATTGTCCATTTTTATGGCACCATAATATTCCATTTGTGTAAATGTACATTTTACATATTCTCCTTCAACCAACGAAGGTATTTATAGCTGTGATATTTTAAGCTATAACCATCCTTACATCTGTAACTGGTCAATAAATGTGTTCTCTTAACTAAGAGCACTCTGAATGCATGCTTTACAATTTTTATCTCCCTTTATCAAAAAATACAAGATTAACAAAACCTCCTGGGTTGGCAGGGCCACAGGATGATCACCAAGGCCACCACCTTTCCATGCTTCACAACTCAGATCAGTTCACAAAGAGGGAACTTGAGACCATGTTTCTATAAAATCACTAGTCTCTGCATTCCCTTCTCAAATTTGCTGTGGAAATCAAATTAGGAAGGTGGTCAACGAATATGGAGAAAAAGAAAAAAGTAGAGAAATACTCTTCAGGTTGTTTCCTGCAAACTAGTTTAGAAAATTGCCCTTTTATTGTAGGTTAAGAATCCTTAGGATCACTCTCCTCCCTTGTTTCTAAGCCTTTTGAGCAAGTCAGATTGTAATGCAACTTTAACAGGTCAGACTGTGATTAGGCTCTGGGTTTTAGATCAAAAGCTGATTGAAACATCTCATTTCCAACAAAGCAGTTTGAATTTAGGTGTTCTTATGTTATTTGAAGTGTAATCCGTTTTTTATAAAGGACTTGTCATTTACTTTTGCCTAGAGCTCAGGTTCCAGTCTTTCTGAACACTGATGTCAGTCAATACAGGCATACACCTCTTTATTGTGCTTTGCTTTACTGTGCTCTGCAGATATTGTGCTTTTTACAAATGCAACCCGGCCTCGAGCAAGACTATCGGCACCATTTTTCCAACAGGCTCAGATGATGGTTACCATTTTCCAGTAATATTTTTCAAGGTATGTAAGTTCTTTTTAAACATGCTACTGCACACGTATGTGAGACTAGAGTACAAACATGTTTTATACGTACTGGGAAACCAAAACATTGTTGAAACTTGCTTTATTACAGTGCTCTCGAACTAAATCTGCAATATCTCCAAGGTATGCCTGTTATTTTGTAGCACACGTCCTAAAATACCTCATCACCCTATGTAAGGTTCATCAACTTTTACCTCAGTCATCTCTAGCATTTGGCCACCAGCAAAGTCACACTTCATCCAGCAGATTCTCTACAGGATGAGAGCACGTGGTGCCTCTCTTGGGTATTTCCTTAGCCCAGCCCTGGTGCCTCCACTGCTCTTGCAGGAACTTACTACTGGGAGTTGTTCTGGCTTGTGGACTGGGCTTTCTGAGGATCCTGGCTGAGAGGACAATGCCTTATCACATTTAGTCATCAGCCTGCGCCATCCTCAGCCTGGTGAAAGTTGTGATCTTACTTCCCTTCCTTGGCTAAATCTCCTCCTCCCTCCTGAGTCTTTGGAATGCAAGAGGTATATAAGCTTGCTTATGCTCAGCATATTCCTCGAGCCCAACTCTATGTACGCTCAATTAAAAAGGAAAAGAAGAAATCAAGCTCCACTTTCAGGGTTAGACTAATCTTTAGTAAGACTACATATTTCTATACTTCTCTAATTTATAGCACCTCTGCCCATATAAAGTCCCCATTGCTACAACAATCCAGTTAAAGATGGACAAATTAAGACACTGGCATAAATCAGCCTTTTTACAATTTTTCTATGTGCTTGTTCATTTTTTAAAACATTTAAAGTGAGTTACCATAAGCACATGATAGCAATCTTAGTAAAACCAAGACCAGGCAAAAATAAGAGTTAAGAACTGAAAGAAAATGGAACGTTTGGCTTGGAGGTTTCTTATACCTGAAGTATAGAGGAATGCACGTCTCACTATGGTAGTAAGAAAACCATCACCAAATGCTTGGGGTGGATTTACCTCACTTTGGGTACATGCGGGATGTCAACGAGACTAAGCACATCTGGAAACTGGATTCATAAAACTATCGGTTCCCCTCCCCCCCAAAAAAGACATCTGCCCTGGCACTTCAGCTCAGACAGGTTCCTTTGTGAATCCCATCTAAGATACAGACAAGACTCAAATGTTAAAATTATGCTTGATTTGGATTTTGAAGGACAAGTATATTGCCAGGCAGGAGGAGCTGAAGAGAAGTCATTAAGACAGATGACTACTTTATAATTCTGAGAGCAAAGTTAGCAGTGACCCACATTATGGAAGTTGGGAGGCTATTACGATGATCTGGATGTGTACGACAGCTGAAAGACAAGATAGAGGCAGGAGTTGAGGACACCTGTGGCCCATGGCTTGGGAAACTGTTAGAAATATTGGATGTTAAAGCACTTGATGCAGAGCCTAGTCTACACTAGTTGTTCAATAGCTTTCCCTTCCTCTAACCTGACACATTATAGGGAAAATTAGGTTCACTTTGAGGCATACAAAATTTGAGGTACCAACTGATGTTCTTGCGGAGCTGTTTAATGCACACCATTAGTCTTGGGCTGATAAAAGCCAAAGCAAGGAACGCATGTGGAAAAGACAGGATTCTAGTGCGAGCTTTGGTAGGACAATGCCCCAGAAAAGTCGGAGAAACAGGAGCTCAGCCTAAACTCTGGAACTATTACAATGCTGAGCAGTGAGAATGAAGACTGGAGGAAGAATGTGGCAGAGGCCAAAGTGTGGACAAAATTTTGAAATGCCTAGAGAAGTCAAGACAAAAACTAAATACTGGATTTAACTGTTAAAGTCTTGGTGACCATTATTTTAGCAGAAGCCAAGAGCCAGAAGAGAGATTAAAAGTGAATGAGGACAGAGACTATCTTGCAGACTACGACTGTGGGGAATGGATAGTTTAGTAGTACTTAAGAGTGGCAGCAGGGTCATGAGTGGAAAATTCCTTTAAGAGATGCCAATGCTAAAGTCAGTGGCAAGAGGCAACAGTCTCTTGCCCTAATCTCAAAAAAAAAAAAAAAAGCCATTGAGTGGGGGGAAAAAAAGGAAATGCACCAAGTGCTATAATCAAAAATAGTTATTTTCCCTAGCTGGAATTATAGAATTTCTCAGAATATAAAAACAAAAGTTTACAATGTGGTATTTTTGCTACTGCCTCACCACCTCAAGCAGCGCCAGATAGGACTCAAAATGTTTGAACAGATGCCAATATAAGGAAACTAGAATTGTTTTCCTAAAAAAACCAAATAGCTCAAGTTGGCATTTAACCATAGCAGACAATCTCACACTACACACCGTCTACCCACATACTTTACATTGAGTTCTAGAGCTTACACTTGAGGCCATTCACTCCAGTGCATACTGTGCTAAGGGTAACCAGCCTTTAGTGTTATCCGAGGCTGCTATATATTAAAGGCAGATTTTGGTCAAGAGCTTAAGATCTGTAAATTCGCAAGATGCAAAGACACAGAATACAAAATGAGAACTCAAAACCAAATCTGGTCGAATTTAGCTTCATAATATACGCCCTAACAAGGTTGGCCAATAGGGTAGAGAAATTCAAAGTACTGCAGTTGGTGATTTACCAGAAATTACAAGACTTCTATTAGTCTTACCTGGTTCAACATTTCACTCATACAATACCCAACTTGATCTTAAAATACATAGATCACCATTTCTCCCTGCTGAATTCTTAGAGTACACTGAAGCATTCACCTTGCTTTGGTACCTAACATCTAGGTCAGTGAAAGCAACAAACACTCTGACCTTTCCTAATGGGCATGTTTATAAGCGCTCCTGGACAGCGTTTATCTTCTAGTGTCCATAGCCTAAATGCAAACCTACCCATCTTTTTTTCTATTGATCCACCCAACCTTAAGATCCTTTTTAATACCCATACTTAAGTAGCCTTAGGTTCTAGGCTGGCCAACAGCCATTATAAATGTCCACCCCAAGAAACCCTAGCTATCAATAGGTTACTGTTAAGCCTATCTCTGCTTTAATCACTGTTTTAATTGCCAGTACTGAAGTTAACTGCTGCTTGGGATTAGGCTTACATTTACAAACCAAAAGAAACAAACAGCATGCTTCCAGTTATCTTGCAATGATTACCTTGTGTCCTTCACTAACAGGAACCTTAAGGTGCCACAAAAAATTTAAAAAAAATAAAAATAAAAATAACCCAGAGATGAAAAACCAAAGCCAAGTTTATTTGTTCATTTCTTATATTTGAAGTACTCCTCGATGACATCCTTGGCCTGAGACTCTTTGCCATAGTCCTAAAAAAAAGTCATATGGGGTTTTTACTAACGTTTAGAAATTCCACAAAGTCATTAGCACTAAATATAGTGAAGCTTTAAAAACCTAGCTCATCTTCTGAAAATGGTTCATCATTAAAATTTCTTGTAGCCATTTTCAGGGACCTTAATGATGTCAATGTCTTTAAGGCTCGTAACATGGCTTTACTATTGCCAGCTTTTTCTATGTTTCTGCGAAACACATTCAGGTAAGCAGATTCATTGGCCGGCTTGAATTATGGCTTTTCTTTTTGTGAAAGGCAGAAAAACGTTTTTAAATCTGTTGAGAATCAATTTTTTAGGTGGTTCTTGACTTAATGTAGATTCAGTACAGGGTTACCCAGCATAACCTTCATTCCAAAAATAAATACTGACTTACCTTAACCACCACACAACTGCAACCAACCACTTTCCGGGGTTTTCCCTCTCTGTCAATTTTACAGAGGCCTACCCATTCCCCTAGTTTCTTGTTGTCATCAACCTATTGGGGGAAATTTTAAAAATCACCATATTAGTAGGCATTAATGCTACTGGCAATAAATCAAATCCAAAAGGTAGCTGTAGTCAGATAGGGTGACATGGCAGTTTCCTCATGGCAGTTCAGTAGAGGGAGCCAGTTGTCATCATGTACAGCACCAAGATCACCTATTCATTCTATCCTCAGTTTTGTTTTCTATCAACATCAAAATTATCATTTAATACTACAGAAATAAAATGTTTGCTCTATAACTACCTTTAGCATAGTCAACAGTATCAGGTTAATGTGATGTTTTTCATACCTGAAGAAAGCAGTAAGCTCAACATTACAAATTTGCTCTGGTATGACAAAAATCACGAGCCTGCATTAATCCTGACACATTGGCCCAATTTTTATTAAGCTAAATTATCTCTTAGCAGTTCAGATAAATCAAATTAGACACGTAACTTACCTTAATTAGGTTGATTTGGTGTTCAGCACAAAGGGCCTCCACCAACTTGACATACATAGGCTCATCACAGTTGGATGCAAGCACACACAGATGGGCCTGGCGCCTGAAATACAAAATCCAACAGAAAAAAACTCAGGTGTAAGTCCAGTACTCTTGCACTTTACAAGGGAAGTTGCCTTAAGTACTGGCTACACTGACAGAACACAAGCAGCAAAACCATTAGTAAACAAAACTGCTCCAGTATGATTAACAAGGTATACATTCATTAGATTCATCTATGGAAACACTAACAATTCAGCAATACCAATGCTTACGTAGGGGAACTAGTTCGTGATCAACACACAAACATGCCCTCTTGCAAGCAAGTCTTACACAGACTAAAATTATGTGAAAGAAACTAGATCAGAGTTGTCACTTCTTGGTAGCCCAGACTTAATACTGTGCAGCATTGCCAAATAGTGCAAGGGATTCACACCAAGACCTGAGGAAGTACTTCCATCAAGTCTTGTTTCCAATGGATTCAACTCATCAACCTACACCAGTTTATTGAACTGACAAATTTACCTGGCTTAGAAACCCTTAAAATACCTTTAAAATGACATCAAAGAGTTATAACTCAGTTTTGCCAATGTAACCATCCCAGAGACTAAATTGAATGTATTTACAAGTATTCCATATTATCATTTCTACAACAGCTATTTCTCTTACTAAATTCATCTACAAGTCTAGATGCTTCTACAACTTGAAATCCCATTAATTTAACTTGATTTAGTTTTGCAGACTGCCCTATGAAGATTCCTATCTCATCTAGATAATGTGAAATTAACCCCACAACTTACAGGTTTGTCAGACTTTTTTAAGTTTCACTCATAAAAAGAGTGAAGGGGTATCCGACACTTTGAGTCATCATTCAAACACTGTAGTTTTAAGAATCAATTGGTCATCCCCATTCCAAACAGAGACCCACAAACTCTTAAGTGGGCTATACAGATTGGAATTCTGATACCTTTTCCTAGGTTTCCTGTAGAACGGATGCCATTCAGAACCTTTGCGCTAACACCATGAACTTCAAGCTTTCTTCCCTTGGCTGCAGTTTTGTTCCGGTTCCAACAACCCACAGTATTGAAATTGACAAACGTACTTGTCTAAGGCTTTGGCAGCTTCACGGATTCCACGTGCTAGGCCATCGTGGATGAGGGCGGTCTTCAGCACCTCTTGCAAAGCAGTATTAACGTCCATTACACCTCCAGCAGCAATGCTGAAATGCAACAAATCAAAATGATCAAATTCCCGCACACCGTCTAACGCCGTGGACTCGGCAGTCATCAGTGAGATGTCCGATACGCTTATGGAGCCATGTCTGGCCCCAAGCCCACGCAGCCGTCCCGCGGCCAACGATTTAGCACCGCGATCCCCGCCCTGGGCTCACCCTTCCTCGGCCATGGCGGTGGGTTACGGGAGAAGCCGAATCTTGAAAACACTGTAATACAAACAACAAGACACCAGTTAACTAAAAGACTCACTTTAAACCTAAGTATCCATCACCAATCCCAGACGAAATACACTGACTCGTGCACCATAACCACCACCCTCGGGTCACTCAACTCACCCCAAGCCGCGCCTCCGCGAAAAAAGAAAGAGACAGTACGCGACCGCATGACGGTATTTAAGGGCTTCCCAGGCCCCCTTTGCGCATGTGCTCTCTCCTCCTTGAAAGAGGTGTCTCTGGTAGTGCCGGGCCTCGAGAATTTGTTTCCGGATCGAGGTGGTTTTGAGACAAGGATACTGTTACACTTCTGACTGCTCTGCCCATCACTGGCCCACATAACAGGCACCATCACGGACAGCCTCGCTTCGTCTTTTCCCTCCGGGGGCGTGGCGTGCGGAGGCCCGCGGAGCTCATTCTACGGAGCGCGAGAACGGCCAAGCGCGCCCTTCATCCCTCAGAACGCGTTTTAAGCATTAACGTTCCGTTTTATAATTCCCATCGACCTCAAAAACTGGGCCTTCCTGAGTGGCACATTCTCTCCCTTAGCATCTAAGTCACTCCGAATGTCCGTGAATGTGTGACATTGTGGGTGATCCTCGTGTGTGTGTGTGTGTGTACGCGCGCGCGCGCGGTCCTAAAAGCCAACACGTTTTTCACTATTAAGTGCATCTAAATTCCACCTTCCCAGCGATCTGTTAGTAAAAGGAAACCTCCAGCCAGGTAGTTGGTTCTAAGTGAAGTTTTTCTTTTTTCTTTTTTAAAGTGAAATTGTCCCCTGGATTCGTTGTCCCGCGCAAAAGGGGATTCATTCAATAGGTGCATTTAAATCATCTACTATGTGCCAGACACAGGGATAGGAAGGGTATACAAATATAGAGAGGAAAACGTGGTCTTTGAGATATTCGGCATTAATTTCGCCATCGCGAGGACTGGTGGAATTAGGAGTGGAATCTGAGAACCCTAAAATTTGATTTTCCCCGGAAGCAATATTTTGAATTTTGCAATGACTGACCATCCTCCCCGCAACCCGCGCGCCAATTTTCAACACATGAAATGTAACCCAATATAATCAGTCTTTTTCCTTTTCTTTTACCGTCCTCTCCTGACGAGTCGCCAAACGAGTCAGCAACTGTTAAGAGTTTGACAGGTGCCAACGCTGGATACAGTGAATAGCGAAGTTAATGTCAGGCTGAGTGCCTAAAAGAAAACAAAAATGGGTAACACGATAAGAGTGCGAGGCAGAGTTCATCAGAATAGGGCTATACTAGAATTTTAATAAACTGATATAGTACATATTTAGCTTTTCAAATGCTTGCACATTTTCATTTTAAAGTGTCGAACCTGCTTTCCATTTATAAATCATCCTAAATTGTTCGCCGTTCATTTAATTAACTATTGAGCTTTCACTTAAAAAAAAAAAAAGCTATATGGCGTTTATGAAAAAAAAACCTGCTGCTTATACTGGTGGTGGGATTAAGATTTGAGTCAAAGATTAAAATACCTAAAGGCCACAGGAGAGGTACAAAGTGGCATGGGAGTTGGAGATGGGGATGATGTAGAAAGGTAAGAGAAGGACTTCAGACTTGTGGCAGCATCTGAAATAAAAATAAACAAACAAAAGGATCCCAAAAGGAGGATGAGAGAAAAGATAGGGTATCCCAAGTGGAAGAAAGACTAAGGGCGAAAGCACTGATGCCTTCTTAGTTTTTTTGGAAGTTATCTTAACACATTTGTATTTTTGAATGAGAACGTGGTAAATAGTGTGTCAGCAAATTTTCCATTATCTAAAATTAATAAAAGTTAATGTGATAAACATATTAGTAGATTTCTAGCCCCCACCCTCAAAAAAATGTTGGGGTGGAGATAGGGAATTTGGTAAAGACTCAAGAAACATAAATGGGGAAAATAATCATTGCCAAACAACATACTTATTTAGGGGGAAAGTGATTCTTATGCTGTGGCTGGTTTCTGGTTTCTAGCAGCTCGTAATCTATTCTGTAGACTAAAGTACCATGGGCCTATTCCTTAATATTTCACCTTATAAATACCTTTTCTATCTGTTGTAAACCTCCCTCCTTAGAATTGTAGCTACACTTTTTTTAAATCCTGGTTTTAAAACCGGTTCTAATCCCAGAAATGAAGTTAAAGGGCACGCTGGTGGTTCGAGGCTTCTTTAATATAGATTCTCCTAGTTCACTCGCTTAAGTTTACCTCTTCTCTATTGAGAAGCTAATGGCTAGATTATAATACTTTCATAATGTACACAAATGTACATCTGAAATATATATGAAAAATAAATTCTAAAGTTTGTTTTAGGAACAATAAATAATGAGTAATTTTGTTTAGCACTTTCTAACAACCAGTTAATGTGCTAAATTATCATCACATATTTTCTTCCTTGATTATCATTGAGATCCTATGTGGTGGTGGTGGTATTCACCCCCTTTAACAGGTAAGAAACCAAGGTTTAGAGAGTTGCCCGAAATGACACAGCCAATAAATGTGGAAGGTGGTATTTGAACCCAGTGGATGTCAAAGCTCATGCTTTTAACCCTTCAGCCATTTGAATGATTGCCCAAATGTGGGAGGGAGATTACTGAGATTTCAAGAAAAACTCTTTACATCTCACAGTTGGCAATAATTCAACAATGAGGTTCTACCTCCTTGTGCAAAAAAGTTGTAAAGATGGAGAAAGAGGATATTGCTAGTTAGGCGGAAAAAGAGCAGTTGAAATTGGATTTCTGAATCATCAATGCAGATGTTGTATTAGCTTGCTGGGGCTGCCATAGCAAAGTTATCACAAACTAGGTGGTTTAAACAACAGAGATTTATTGTCTCACATTTCTGAAGATAAGAAGTCTGTAATTAAGGTGTCTGTAGGGGTGCTTTCTTCTAAGGCTGTGAGCAGGAATCTGTTCCATGCCTTTCTCCTAGCTTCCAAAGCTTTGCCGGCAATGTTGATATTCCTTGGCTTGTAGCGGCATAACTCCAATCTTCATGATGTTCTCCCTGTGTGCATGTCTGTCTCTGTGTCTACATTTTTCCTTTTCAAAAAGATACCAGTCATATTGGATTAGGGCCCATCCTACTTCAATATGACCTCATTTTAACTAATTACATTAATAGCCCTATTTTCTAAATAGGGTCTTGATATGAGATGTGGGGGATTATGATTTCAACATAGCTCATTTGGGGAAAACAATTTAATCCATAACAGATGTTAAAGAAGGGGGAGATGCAGAACAGATTAAATGATAGAAAAGATCTTTTAGTCGAACTACAAAAAGCTCACTTGGATGACCAGAGCTGGGAAGAGAAACTAGGCCAGATTTTATATCTTGGAGTGGTGGGGCCCAGCTGTGCTAAGTTAAAATTCCAGCTCACTTTGGCAAATTACTTACTTTTCTGAGTAAAATGGTGATAAAACTATCTTTGTGAAGATGAAATTAGATAGTTGTTTAAAGTGTTTACCACTATGCTTGAGAAGTAGTTATTTACTTTATAAAAGAAATTGATATGAAAACATGGAAAGTTTCTTAAATATTATTTTTTTCCTGCCCCAAATGACCCAGTAACTTAGTACAGTGACTTACATAATAGAATCAATAGAACTAATGTCTAATGTCTAATGAATAAATTCATTGAATGAATAAGTTTAAAAAAAGCATCTGGGTAGATTGCGTATCTTAAAAAAGCCATATGGAGAACTGCTGTGATAAATTACTATCTCTTGTGAGTTAGGTGGAGGTTGTGGGCATCCACCAAAAAATGCTTTTAATTTCAAAGCTTTTAAAATGTCTCTACCTTTAAAGTGTAGAAAATAAAGTGAATAGTTAGAGATGGAAGTGAAGAAATAGGAGAAAACTCAGAAAATATTATCCTGCTGCAGCTTAGGTACATATAGGTCTAATCTTGGTGTATGTAGCTTTAAACATACCAAAGAAAAATTAGTTGTAGCTGAAGAAACTCTTGGGCCAAAAAAGATATAATTATATCCTATTATATCAAAGGAAGAATCAAAGGAGAAAGAAATTGATAAGAAGGAAGAAATAAAAAAGAAAATAAGAAAGTAGATGAATAAGAGTAGAATAGATTTTAAAAGGCTGTAGGCAGTAGCTTATAAAGTTAATATATAAGGCTTTTAATTGGAAAACCCACTTTGTTAAGGGGAAAAAAGTCTGTGGAGGAGAACAGGGCTAGATTATTATATAGCTAAGTAGGAAGCTTATGTCAATATATGTTTTGAGAGTTTTGTGTAATTTTCATCAGAGCTTTCGTAAGTCTTATTTAGAATGTTTCCTCAGCCCCTTTTTTAAAAAAAATTTCTACCGGATGTTACCCAAAGCTGTTTGGGCACTGTAGCTGCTTGTTATAGAGTTAATCCAGAACTTGGGGGAATGAACATATTTGGGAAGACAATTAGAGATAATACTTAAAGTTTATGAATAAACTAATTATAAAGCAGCAACACAGGTAACTTATAAATGAAATAAAGAGTATTGGCCAATAGAGCAAACCCTATATTATCATTAAATTTATTTACTCGGGGTACAAGGAGAATCTGAGTGTGTAGGACTCCAGACTTCAATGTATCTGTGTAATATTTCTTCTGAAGAATAGGTCCTGATGATCTAAAATGTGTTTGATAACTGCAAATCTTATTAGAGATTCATTTGGAATGAAGCCAGGACCATTCCTGTCCTGAGAACTAGAGCTTCATTTAAAAAAAAAAAAAAAATCCTAATCATATAACTGTTTCGATGAACCCCAACGATGAAGTTAAAACACAGACTGGTGATTCAAGAATTCTTGTCTACAGCCATGCTGCCCTGAACAAGCCCGATCCTGTCTGACCTCGGAAGCTAAGCGAGATTGAGCCTGGTTTAGTACTTGGATGGGAGACCACCTAGGAAGACCAAGTGCTGTAGGCATTTAAAATAATAATAAGGGATTGTAAGCTGACAAGGTCCTTGCAGTCTTTGAGGTCAACCAAGTGTTGCCACACCTAAAAAAAAAAAAAAAGAATTATTTACATGTATTCTCCAGAAAATGCATTTTCTGACTCTGTAGCCTTTGTCAAAACACTTTTAGTATCTGGGCCTCAAGAATCTCATCTACAAAATGTACTAGGGTGTTGAATGAGATGGTTT